GCGAGTTTCTTATCAGTCTCAGCTTAATAATAATGATGTCAATGTCAATGATAATGATCATACCTCCCTTTTTTTCCAGCATCTTCCAGAAAGGTCCACTTCTTTGCCAGTTATCCGGCTCAAATCTCCGGTAAGATGAACCGGATAAAGTTCAGCCGGGTGCTGGTGAACGTGGGCCGGGGCTTCGACCGGCGCTCGGGCGTTTTCCGGGCGCCGGTCGGCGGCGTTTACCAGTTCTTCTTCTCCACCCAAACGGCGCCCGGCGGGGCCCGGACCGAGCTGTGGCTGGTGGTGAACGGGTACTGGGTGTCGGCCTCCCAGGGCCGGCTGCCCCGGACCTCCACGGTGGGGAGTCTGAACACCTATATGAGCTTCCTCCGCCGCGGAGCCAGGGTCCACGTCACCCACAACTGTGGCAGGTCCTGGGCCAACGCATCCTCCACCACCATCAGCTTTGGGGGGTCCCTGCTCCTACAGGGGAGGAACCAGGATTAAGTTTAACTGTGTCCTCTCTAAGTGGAAAAAAAACAAAAAAACAAATATGAGCAAATTTAACCCTTTAAAGCCTGATCCAAGAATAAAACGAAACAGAAAATTACTTTTCTTGTTACTGGCTCCATAAATAAAAACAGCGGCATATACATGGGGGGGTTAACTGTCTCATCTCTTAGTGGAAAAACCTCCAACAAGTATGAATTTTATAACAGCAGATTTAAAAAAAAGCAGAAATTATTTTGATCAAATTAGCGTGCAATAAGTCAAAAATATATTTTGGTGTAGTCTTCTACTGGCTGTTATCAGGTATATCTGAATGTGTACAACAGGGGTTTGAGCAAAGCTTTTACCACTGAATGATGCAAAAAGTCTCAGATCCAAAAGACTTCAGAAACCGTTTGTAACAAATATGACACATTTGAAAATATAGGGTTAAGGAAATGCCAAACTGTGTTGAATCAAAGTTTTCTTTATTTATATCTCTGGCTGATAAAAACAAAAAATGTGCCTCAATACATTGATTTGTGCTTTAAGAATATTTATGGGGGTGTCGACCTAATATCATCATTATTTTATTTACGATTATTGTATTTAAATTGCCAACATCTGTATCTTTGATCTGTAATGTTTCCTGCTTGCTTTATCGTGTAAATGTTTTGATAATAAAGATATTAAAAAGAACGTGTAAAAAAGGATATTAAAAAACTAACAATAGAATGTATTTGCTTTGTAGTATGGTTTAAATTACCCTTTTTTATACAAGTCTTTGGAAAGTTATAGGCTCCAAACATGTTTACTTTTCTTAATATGGTTTAAATGACCCTTTTTATACGAGTCTTTGGAAGGTTATAGGCTCCAAAGCTGTTTATTTTTCTGAATAAAACCTCTTTAGACCATAAGAAAAACATTTTTGGGTTTTGAAGACATTTCGAATCTGAAAGGCTTATAATACACAAATATCAAACATGGGACATATTCAAGCTCCAAGAAGAAGAAGAAGATTTTTTTTTTTTTTTTGATTTTTAGAAAATCATTTATTACTCAATAATTTAAACATAGAAAACGGTACATAATCAGTTCAGAGAACGCTAAACAACGCAATAAATATTTACACTAGTAGCTTATTATATCTTAGGTCTCCCTGATCACGAACGGTGCACAATACCTTATTAAAACCCCACAGTTCTAAAAAAGCCTTCAGATTCCCGGTGGCTCTGTGGAAACAAAACTCCAGTCTCAACCTGGCCTTGATATTGACCTTCCACAGAGCCACCGCGTCGAGTTGAGGTCCAGCCTCCATTTTGTCCCTTCGACTTATGTAAATAGCCATTTTGGCCTCAGCTATCAGATAATTTAAAAGGCGGGATTTAAAACTAGTGGTTCGACTGTGATGAACACCGTTGATAAAAACAGAATTGGTAAAAACCATGCCAAAAAGGTTAAAAAAGTTGGCCAAAAATTTAACAAAACTAGCTAACCGTACACAGTCTGTAAACATATGAAAGACAGTCTCGGGCAACCCGCAAAAAGGACATTCGTTCAAAACCCCGGGACTGATGATCGATAAAAACGAGTTTGTGGCGATGGTACCGTGGAGAATCCGCCACTGTAGGTCGCCAGTCCGTTTTTTTATTGGAGGCTTGTATAATGTCCTCCACTGCGGTTCCTGTCCTCTCCATCTGTCGCTCCAAATGCTGACAGCTCTATTGTGCAGCGTTCTCTTGTTTAAAACTTTTGCAGCGTATGCGTACAATACTTTCGGGTTTGTCCTGCCCAAGTCCATCCCTGAGACTGGGCTTTGCAGCAGGGGGCCACTGTCTTTCTCAAATCCCGGGCTCAGCAACACGTCCGGGAACGGGTCGTTTGGGTCGGGCAGGCACTCCTTTGTGGCGTGTGAGTTCAGGAGTCGCCTCTCCCCAGCCGTCAGTCTTTCTTTCACCCGCTCCAGGAAGCGCTGCACCAGCCTGGCGGACCGGACCCCAAGCTGCAAGCCAACTTCCTGGACTTGAGAAAAATCAGGTCCAGCCACCTCCACCAGCCGCCTCAGGGTTACCGTCCCAGACTTAGACAGCACGCCGTAAAGGCCTGGCACGGTTCCGTCATGGACGTCTAGTCTCGCCCCACAAACCAACGGTTCCTCTAAAAGCCAGTGCAGAGAATTATGTGTTTTTGATCTGTGCAGTTTAAAAAAGGCACAGGACCTAAAAACACTCTGGTAGAAACGAGGCAAACCTTTTAACTTTAAAAGACTCAAGTCAGTAAAAAACAGAGCAGCATCCAGCCCCAGAAAGTTGACACGCCTGAGGATGCAGCTGGCCACATCCCTCCACACCGGAGATCCAGTCAGAAACTTTTGAAGAAATTGTAGTCTAAAAGTAGCTGTTCTACTGGCCAGGTGGACAAGGCCCTGACCCCCCTCCTCTCTCGCTAAAAACAAAACAGACTGTGGCACCCAGTGTAGACCGTTCCAGAAAAAATTAACCATCTCTGACTGAATCTTGACCAGCAAACCAGATGGTGGGTCCAAAACACATAGCTTGTGCCACAGCTGTGAAGCGACCAGGTTATTTAAAACCAAAATCCTGCCCCGGTACGACATTTGTGGGTGCAGCCACTTCCATTGGGACAATTTGTTCTGTATTTTTTGTTCAATGTCCTCCCAGTTCTTGTCTACAATATGTTGACTGCCTAAAAACACACCAAGATATCTAAAACCATCCCTCTTCCATAAAAGACCCTGAGGGAGATCTGGGAGCCCAGCAGACCACTCGCCGACGGCCAGGGCTTCGCTCTTACCCCAGTTCACCCTCGCAGCGGACAGAGTCGAAAATTTTTCGGCGATACTGGTTAAGACGGTGACGTCCTGTTGGTCTCTAATGAAAACTACTACGTCGTCAGCGTAGGCAGATAGAACTATATTGCTCTTAAAACCAGGTAAAACCAGACCATGAACACACGAGCGTACCTTCCGGAGGAGGGGTTCCAGGGAGAGTGCGTAGAGCATCCCCGAGAGCGCGCAGCCCTGTCGAACGCCTCTACGCACCCTAAAAGGAGCACACAGGCTGCCGTTGATCTTCAGCACACTCTCGATGCCACTGTACAGAACCTGGATCTTGGCGATGAGACCCTCGCTGAACCCGAACCCCCTCATGGTTTTCCAGAGGAAGCCGTGTTCAACGCGGTCAAATGCCTTTTCTTGATCCAGTGAAATCAAACCAAGTTGCAAACCCAATGAACCGGAGATTTCCAAAACGTCCCGAATTAGGTAGACGTTATCTACCATGGACCTGCTGGGGACGCAATAGGTCTGGTCCCGGTGGATGACCTGCTCCATAGCCTTCCCAAGCCTCGTGGCCAGGACCTTGGAGAGGATCTTATAGTCGGTGCAGAGGAGGGACACGGGGCGCCAGTTCTTAATCTCCTGCAGGTTGCCCTTTTTGGGCAGCAGGGTGATGACTGCCCTACGGCAGGACAAGGGGAGCGAACCAGTTAACAGACTCTCATTGTATACGTCAAGCAAGTCTCGGGCCAGAAGATCCCAGTAGGCCTTGTAGAACTCTACTGTGAGCCCGTCAATGCCCGGGGACCTCTGGCCCTGCATGCTGAAGAGGGCTGTGTGGAGCTCCTGAAGCCCCAGGGGGCGCTCCAGGTCGGCACTGGTCCCCTCAGAGACTTGAGGCAGTTCACTGCAGAACTCCTCAAACAGTTCCTCGTTCTCCACGTATTCGCTGTTGAACAGAGAATGGTAAAAACCCACAGCCCTCCTCCTGATCTGCCCTGGTTCGCTCAGTTGCTGCCCCGTGTCCGACAGCAGAGAGTGGATCTGCTTCCTCTGCCCGTGCTTCCTCTCCAAGCTGAAGAAAAAGCTAGAGGGAGCATCCATCTCCGTGATGTTCTTGATCCGGGACCTGACCAATGCGCCTTGGACTTTATTCTCCAGCAGGTTTGCTAAAACTAGCCTTTTTGATTGGAGAGCTTCAATGTGCTCTCGATTTCCTGTGGATCCACTAAGACGTTCTAATTCCACGATGTTCATCTCCAGATCTCTGACAGATCCGGTAATGTCACGGGTAGCATTGAGAGTGTGCTGCTGACTCAGCAGCTTTAATTGAACTTTCCCATGGTCCCACCACTGCCTCAGACAAGTGAACTCAGACTTTCTTTGTCTGAAACCAGTCCAAAAATAACCTAAACTCTCCCCAAAAACCTGATCGTAAGTTAAAGCCGTGTTAAAATGCCAGTAAGCGCTTCTAGGTAAAATGTTTCTGATAAAAACACTACCTAAAAGCAACGAGTGGTCAGTGAAAGCCACCGGTAAAATCTGGCATGTTTTAAACACGTTAAAATGGTGTTTCAGACAATAAATACGATCAAGTCGTGCCAAAGAGATCCGGTTTTCTTTTACGTGGGACCATGTGTACTGCCTGGAGCCTGCGTGCATCCTCCTCCATACGTCCACCAGGCCGTGAGACGAGACCAGCTGCCGCAGAGCATGTTGGGCTGCTGGATGTGGCTCTGCATGATTTCGATCCAGAAACTCATTTTCCGTACAGTTAAAATCCCCAGCTACAAAAACATAATC